ATGTATGTATTGGAAGGAAGAAGAATAATCTTATTTCTGGGTATTATGTGGGATTTACAAACTTTTCAATTCCTTGGCTTTCTTTCTTAAAGAATTTTCCAAGTACTTTACAATCAGTATGAATGTATTGTCATAAAATATGATATTAATAAAAAAGAAAAAGGGCAGAGTGGGAAGAGGAAAGGGAAGTGGAGGAAAGGGAAGCCAGATGAACGCTAAGTGGTTGCTTAGCGTTCATCTGGCTTCTCTGTCTCAGAAGCGGTAACCCAGACAGGTGACTGCTGTGAAGAACCTAGAATTCTCTATGTTCCTTTCTCTCTGAACACCTTCTTAGCATTTGTTCTATGTCAGGACCTTTCCCCAAAGACCCTGCTGGAAGCTTTCCCTGAGACCCAGCAACTGCCCCAGTCCTCTTTTGTCTATGCACTACGTACATGTAATTCCTCCTGTTCTTACCAACTCTAGGTGAAGCTCATAGTACTGAAATGTTTGAGATACTTGAAACCACAAAGCTTAAAAAAAAGATCGGTGAGTAATATTTGTTGGAGCCAGACTTAAGAGCCTCATTATCTAATGAGTGAAAATTTCCTAGTGGGCTTCTCTCTATGAGTAGATGGTCTCTGTGCATGGAGGAAAGTGGAGAGATCTAGTAGTGACAGTTTGAAGAGAGTTACAGTGGAGTGAGCATTCTAAGTTATGTTTTGAGGGGCAGGAGAAGCTTGATGATTGTCTGTAATGTCAAACAAGCCAGTTTAAACTTTGTAATGCCTACAAAAGAGAATGACATTTATATACCTTGTCTTCATTCTCTGATTACCTGGCACTGTCAAAACACAGGAGAATGGTTACTTGGACTGAGACACTGTCCTAAGTAACCCAGAGATGATTTCAATGTATGGCTTTGTTTCTGATCTCCCCCGTTCTGTGGAAAAAGATGCCACATTGGCATTTCAATCAATATAGAAGGATTTCCTGATACCCATCATAAATCTCATGTTGTCTCAAGTGCTGGGGGCTTACAGAAGATCTTGCTACCTTCTGGGGACTAGAGTCAGTGTTTATCAATAGGAAATAATACATGCTAGCACAGATGGAAGGTGGTAGGTAGAAAAACCAAATAGGTAACTGAAGGCACTTGAATCACCAGAGACACTTTCTGAGGGATGGAATTACATTTTATAGTCCATAAAAGATCCAAGCTTTTGACTAGAGAAAAGAAAAGTGATACTTACGAGGCACACAGGAGCCAAATTTATCAGGAAATTCAGATATCAAGTCATCATTGATTCGATCCTTCATGGGGCCCAGGATAATCACTGGCCGGGTGTAGTTAACTGCAAACAGAAAGGAAAACGCATTGAAGAGAAAGACTTGGAAGCAGCTGCACTGCAGCCCTGTAGCCCAAAAAGATGATTCTGGAGGGCAAACTGCCAAGGAAGAAGGGCTGAGGCCTTCCTTGGGGCAAATTACCCACTTTAACACTCAGGATGCTGGCTGTGCTTTCTGGAATTTACTAAGAGGAAACAGAGCAGTTGCAGCATCTGTCAATGCAAAGGAGAAGTTCTGTTTATTCTCAGGCTATGCCTCACTGTGTCAGAACACCTGGATTTAGGGAGCTGAGTAGGAGAAAACTCAAACCAGCTTTTTGGCTAGTTTAAAGTAAATGTTAGTATTGGTGACACCTTACGCTTTTATAATTTCTTTTCCTCAGTTCAAAATACCATCTGTACTGTGCTGGGGTTTTCCTGATTGCTTTGTGTCTGGGATTATGAAGAATTTTAGTTCATTAGGTGCAACTCCCTCTCTGATGCTTGAATTTTCTCTGCAACATCTGTCAACAGCCATCATCCTCTCTATAAAAGTCTCCAGAAAGAGAAAGTCAGACTCCTGGAGCAGACTGCAGATGGCCTGCCTCATAGACCTTTTCAAGGTTGGGCTGACATCAGCTTCCCTGGAGAGGTTCTCCATCAGCCCTCCATCTCAGGCTCTTAGATAATTTGGACATGCGCCTTCTCACTGAGGACACTTCTCTGAAGGGCTGTCCAGTCCTCTAGGGAGCTGTTCCTATATACCCTTGGAGAGCAATTGTTTGCAATGGTGACAAGGCCCAAAAGAGGCAGAAGTTGGGCTTGGTACAACTGCATACTAAATTGACACATGTTCGTGTCCTTAGTCCTTTATGTGCCCTCCTTCAACGGTGTCACCTGTTATAGCCTGGAAATCAGGAACTCGAGCATGCCAGGAAACTTACTTTCCTGCCTTGTGACAGGCTCATAGGAAAGAATGAGGTCTTCTTGTCCTCCTGAGAAGAAAAGAGAGGAAAAGCACAGTTGAATAATAAGCAGTCTCCCCCACAGCTATAATTCATGCTCCGAAACATAGGAACACAGTTTAGGGTTAATTTTCCTTGCTTGCTCTCCTTGAACCACTCAAAAATTATTTTACCCTCATAAAACTCTGCCATACTACTTTAGTGTCAGGTTATCACACAGTCATAACTCTGAGTCATAACTGGTACTAGTTCTTTGTAGTAGGCCAATAATCTGAGGCTGCTTTTCGTCTGACATTAGAAACAGAGTGCCATGCCTCTATACCAAGCATTCCATCTAAAATAAAGCCGTTTATGACACAGAACATTGTCAGAATGTAGGCTAAGGGTATTAGTCTAATATTAAGTCACCAGGAATATGTCACGGGTCAGTTAAATTAAATTCAAACTGAGAGGATGCTGGAATTGTAGCTGTGTGGTAGAACATATGTTTAACATGTGTGAGGTCCTGGTTAAAGCCTTAGTACCTCCTCCCTGCCAAATTGAGAGATGTGTCCTAGGTCACTTATGTAATTGCTGCTAAATCATGCCTCAAAACTTCAGAATGAGAGCTAATGGAGGCAATGCTGTTAAAATAGCACGTCCAGCAGCATTTTCTGCTTCCTTCTGCTGCAAGGAGAGCCTCATGTCAACAAATCACTATGAAGAGTAGGTTTAGCTTTGGCTGTTATTTTTAAGTCATCTGTTTTATGTACTAATCAACTAATTGGCCATGGAATTTTGCTGGTTCTGCTGCAAATCCCAAAAGTTCTGCTCCTATATCTGCATTTGGCTTAGTATTGACTATCCTTTGTGAAATTGGTTAGAGCTGTTGAAAACAGCTAGAGGAGCTAGTGCAGGGGGAACGGAACACTAGGTAGCTTTCCCAAAGTAAAAGCACAGTGAACTCCATTCTCTATAGGCTTAGTGCCCGGGACACATTTAGTCTGCCAATATCAGGTTTTCCTTCAATAGCCCCAGCACTAGGCAAAGGTGAGTTTTCATAAGGAGGTAACTTAACAAATGGTTTTGTTAATGGAAATTGATTTGGGGAATTTATGTGATAATGTGGCATTATAGAGCACAGGTGTCTTGTATGGAACCTTGGCAGTGAGCTAGGGCACACAAGGTTTTCTTACATTTTCAAGTATAAGAAATGGCTGCAAACTTCGGTTGTATTTTGCATGCCCCCAGAAGGGCTTGCTGTCAGGACAAGCCCTGCTTTGACATGCTGCATTCTAAAAGCACAGTGGACCTTGATGCTCCTCCTATATGGCACCTGTCTATGGCTACCTTAGAAGTATTCAGGAGGCTTTTCCGTGCTTGAGCAGGGGTTTGGTGTGGGATGATTCAGAATTTTATGTATTCAGGAAAAGAATGACTCTGAATAAACTAAACTACTGAAATTCAGAGTTTAGGCCAAAAGGAAAAAAATGTGATTGATGTTAAGCCTCAGTTATCTAAACTGGAGATACATAGAACTCATTATCATTCAGAAGATAAGCAGATAAATTGTAAGAAAAAAAGTTTCAGGGATAGAAGCATTGCTGGCTACTGCTGCAATACTAGACTGCAACTTTACTAGGAAGTCTATAAAATAGCTCATAGGAGAGCGGAGCCTTATTGTGAGACAGAATCTTCAAGCATCAGGTGATACAGGGGTTTCCCATTATGCTGGGAGCTCCAATAAAGACAAGGGCAAAGGCCCATTGCTGGACCCCCGATACCCAGCCCAGTGTCTGATGTAAAGGTACTAAAGAACACACACCGTGATATCCGTTGTGAAAAACAAGATGAGTAATGAGACCAAAGAAAGGCTTTACTCTGCGTTTCTGTGACTACGATCAGTTCACTTTGGGAATATGGTTTCCTCTAAATAAATACAACACGTCATGCTTCTATTTGAATCTCTTTGTAGTCATCTTGCAGATCATCCTGATGGGATATTCTGAATGCAAATCTTAAATAAGACATTTGATGTCAGAATGAATAATCTGTGATTCAAAAAACCAGGGCAAAAGAGTTCTTTTATGAGAGAGTTCCACAGTTCTGTGCATCCATTGTTCTTGGTGTTTCTCATGGAAGGCTCTGGTTCAGAGCAGTAGCAATGTTCAGCTCTGGTAGCAATGGTGGCATCTTTTATGCAAGGGCCATCCCAATCCTTGAAGCCCTGTGTAAGCAAATACTGCACACTACATCGGAAGTCCGCAAGGGAGTTTTGGAGGTTGGGATTATATAAGAGCTATGACTTCAGCACTGTGTGCCAATTTTTACTTTTAGGCTCAAGAATGAAAAAGCCCTATGAGTAATGAATGGAAAGGAGACCGTGGAAAAGGAACAAAGCTCATAGTAATGAAGAAAGAAAACCCATGTCTGTACGTCACGCTTATCCTCTGGCTTCTATTTTTTCCACAGCATTTCTTGGGTAGCAGTTACTTTACCATTTTATAGGTAAAAAGGGTGAAAGATGGAGACTTCTCTGTGGGATCACATCAGAGCGATGCAAATAAACAAAGGATGTGGAACAGAAAGGAGGCAAAAAAATCACCGAGAGGCCATAGGTGTCCATCTGCAGGTACCAGCACTCTTGCTGTTTTTTGCTGTATCATCTCCAAGGAAATTATCATCCTTAGTTAAGTTTTTTAAAAAAAATTCTTCACAAGAGTTTGTCACTGAGAAATAACAGCTAGCAAAAAGGTACAAACGATTTCTTAGTCTTGTTTTAGCATCTTCATGGCTGGCAGTGGGCAAGCAGCACAGGGCTATGTGGATGTTTGTAGGTGTCAGAGACTTGGGCAGAGTGTTTTGTAACAGCTTCTGTGAAACACCGGGTGTGTAAACCAGAAGCAAATCCCAGTGAGACATACCCAGAACAAGGCTCTGATACGTTTCCAGGAAAGAGCAAAGCAAGTTGCTGTTCCTTAGGAATTCTTGGAAACAAAGAGGGAGGAGGGAAGCGAAGACCAGTGGTATACATAGTATATTTAATGTTCTAAATTTAGTTTGTAGTGCTTGCACGTGATGGTGAATAAGAATAGATTTAGTTCCTGGAGTCATAGGATGTTAGCACTAGGGAAGGTCAGAGTGCATGTGTGTCACAGACTGCAGGTTCGTAGCACATGTAGTCACTCTGTCTTTCTGTCTCCTTGACAGGAATTATATAGTAGTCATAATCTGAATTGCTGCTGAGCTTTAATGTGAACTCAAAAAACTTTTGCATACAACTCTTTAAGCAGTTTTTTCCAATTCCTTACAGTTGAAACTTTGATTTAAATCTTTTTGCTAGCTCAGTTCTAGTCCTAGCTTCTCATATTTATGTATGACAGAACTGAGAAACCAAGTGGTCTGTTTGAGATCACTCAGTAAAGGAATAGCTCAGCATCACCACAGGATTCAGAAGATTAAAGTTCTCAATACACATAAAGCTCTCAAAATCAGGCTTACTATATAGTTAACACAGTAAGTATTTTTGATTTCAGTATTTGATGAGTGGCACAGAATGGTTGGAAAATATTGGATAAAACATCAAGAAGCTTGTTTCTTTTTCCCGCTAACAACAGGGAATTGTGGGAAACGTATGGGACTCAGAATTAAAAGGTTTTGTTGGAATTGTAGTACAACCACTTGCTGGTGAGGTTTGCGGCCTCTTGGAGATTTGGCTTCCGTCTATGCAAATTAGGCTATCAATATAAGGTCTCCCCAAACAGTAGTATCATTACAGAAATTAAATGAGATAATAGATGTAGTGAAAGCAGCCTATGCTTTATAAAGAGGAAAGAACTAAAGGCAGCTGGGGGCGATGCTTGAGGAAAGTGGAGTGGACTGAAGGATAGAAGGAGCATGTTTACCAGCTCTGTTACTGAAGGCGGTTTGTGTTGTGCCTCATCGCAGAGACTGCACTCGGCTCATTTCTTCCACATCCTTGTGTGGAAAGTCTTTACTTAACTGATGAACACTAGTGGGTGAGAAGGATAATCATGAACTCCCACACATCTGTTTTGTGTAAAGAGCTTGGCCGTGAGACGGCAAGTCTTCAGGTGTGGAAGTTTGACCGATTCCCAGGTATTTGTTGCCTCCCAATACAAGGACAGTTGACAGGTAGTATATACAACAGTTAAGATGAGAAGTCCTCGTCCCATTAATGTATTGGCAGACAGAAATGTGGAGCTATTCAACAGTGAAGGTTTTGAGGTGGTATTTTGCATAATTAGGCAGTGTACATGTTAATTACTTCCATTTTCAGCTGCTAGTCCATATAGTTGGACTTGGAAAAATAATTGCTCTGTAATGCTTGATTTGGTGCAGCAGATATTTGAAGTATTAGAAATTCAGGCTTGTGTGCCTCTCTCTCTCTCTCTCCCTCCCTCCCTCTCTGTGTGTCCAGGGTACAGTGTGAAAGATGCCTGGTATGGTGTGAAATACCATGGCCTTGCCTATTTTGCACCACTTGCATTTTTAAAAAGTTGCCCCCAGATCAAACAGGTGATATTGGTGAAGAGTCTTTTTGTATTTGCTTGTACTGCTATTCAGAAGTCATGGAGCTCGTGATAGCTGTACTGACAGATGGGGATTCACTAGGAAAGTAAAGCTTATTTTGATTTCCCAAAGTTGCTTCTTTCAGGAACTCATCTCTGCCATGCCTATGCCTTTTATCATAACATCACCCTTTATAGAAAGCTCCTCTCTCATTTTGTCAAGCTAACAAGTGCTCATCTTGTCAAAACTTAGCTCCGTGGGTACTTCCTGTCTGAAATAACCACTGATACACCTACTATTTTTCAGTCAGACTTTTATCCTGCTACCTTTAATTCCTGTTCATTTATTGGGCTCTCTCTCCCACTATATTTGTGGTGAGGTCCAGGGTTAATTTATACTCACATTGGGTGTCCTGGTGCCTAGGGAGGGGACCTGGCATGTAAAAGACACCAAATGAATACATGAATATTCCTCTGAAATTCCTTGTATTTGCATCTTAGAGGTGTGTGCATAGGGGAGGGTGAAGGAAATCTTGTGTGTCTGACATTCTATAACCTCACGCCAGAAATAATGGAATGATTAGACTCCATATCTGCCTTATCTATGTGAGCAGAGGTGGAGGTAGAGTCATATAGGTGTTTCCTGTATCCACTCAATAAAATTTTTATGCGGAGCTAGAATTTGGGAAGGAAAAGAATGATTGGTGTCAATATAGCAGTATCACTCCAACAGCTCAGAAAGCAGCTCAAAGCTGTAGCCTGAATTCTAGAACTTAGTGACTCTGGAAAACATATTTGAAAAATATACTTTCCAAAGGAAAAGGCAGTGATTGTAGACACATTCCCTTAAAAGAAAGAGCAAGGCAGGGCATTTTCCTTCTCTATAGCCCTGCCTACTGTAGGGAAGCAAAAACCCTTGGAAACTGACCACTAGATAAATTAGTGTCATTGGTATTCATGAAACCAAACAAGTTATCTTTTTCCTTATGTAAAATTAAAGGTAGCTCTGGAGTTGGAAAGCTAAGTACTGGGCCCGCCTTGTTGGCCTAGTTTCTGAGTTTAAAATCATATGAAAGATATGAAAGGCAAGATTTTAATACTAATATATTAATCACGAAATCAACAGACTACGAAGAATGCACCCATGTTAAGAACTGTGCTGAGAACGAGAGCCCTTTGACTCCCTCCATCAGGAAGACTTGATGGAATTCTTTGTTAGTAATCCTTTCCTCCACAAGGCATACAATTTAAAATTTAGAAAAAATTTGTTTTTATGTGAATGAGTGTTTTGCCTGTGTGTATGTAAGTATATCACATGTGTACAATGTCTGTGGAGGTCAAAGAGGGCCTCAGATCCCCTGGAACTGGAGTTATGGACAGTTATTAGCTGCTACGTGGGTGCTGGGAACTAAACATGGGTCCTCTTGAAGAGTGAAGTGTTCTTAACAGCTGAGTAATCTCTCCAGCCCCTGGTTATACAATTTTAATATTATGACTGGGTATCTTATCACAATTTTGCCATTTCAGTCTTTGGTCTGTATCACCTTCCTCTCCTGATCCCTATCCTTACCTGACATCTCTTTTTCTGTGTGTTTCCTACTTGTCACCAATTTGATTCTTTAAAGCCTTTCTCAAAATCCAGATTGCATTTACTATATTCCAAGAACACTATTTGGCACTCTATCTCAAAAGGTGTGGTTTTATAAAGCATCATGCTAAAATGGGGGGGGGGTTGTCCCAGATGATTTTACTTTTCAATTAATATTCAAGGAAAAGACAATACCAATTTCTACCTTGGTATTTCTTTCTGCACATTATGTATTAGGCTTCCAGTTTACTCATAGCCATGGCAATTGGTTTCTGGGTAACCCATTTCACTAAGGAGTATAAATTATCATTGAAAACATATAAGGATCTCAGTGGTAATATGTACCTATACTAATCACCAAATGCCAGTAAGTAGGTGGCTCAAAATCATGAGAGCTGATCAGAAGGATGTGCTTGTTGGTTGGTGAATATTTCCACACACTAAGCAAATGGCTTGAGGTGACCAAAGAAAGACCAGAGGTAATTTATTAAGTAGTTACCTACCTTTTCAGTTATATTTTCTGACCCAAGAAGTTTTGATATTAGGAAATGAAACGTTTTCATCATTTTCCCAATTATCTCCCAAATAAGATTCAACACATAGATATATCTTAAAATATTAATCAAGGAGAAAGTGATTCAAAAGACTCACATCCAATTTAAAAGGAATGCTGTGATTTATAAATATTTCTGTTCCAGGCACAGAAAGAAAAGGCATAATGAGAAGGAAAATAAAATCATGGCATTTCAACCCTCCTGCAGGGAGGTTATATTGTTTTAGGGGACAGAATGCCCAAATCCTTCATCACTGGGTCACAGCCAGCTGAGGTTCAAATTGATGTTAGGCTGCTGCAGCTTACACAAATCACATAAGCATCCCGATGGAACCCGTGTCATTTGTATCTTTCCACATCAAATGCTGACTTCATTTCAAGCCATTTGCTTTGGATAAGGATGATAAAAGGCAGCAGTTGAAAGATAACAAAAATCTGAAATGTCCACCACAGGCAACGGGCAATCGCAAAGAAAAGAACAGCAAACCAAAGCAATAACTTACGGTAGCTACTTTCACTATCGCTGGCATTAGAGGAAACATGTTCTGCAAGAACAGCACAGCAAATTAAAGAAATATCAAGCATCAGAGAGCAGCCAGAACCAAAAGGAATACACCATGCAAAGCTACTAGAAATGTGAGCAAAAGGCAGGTAGAAGGCCGCAGAGGAGATCCCACTAAGGAAACTCAGATAAGATAAAGATGAAAACTTTATTGCCTTTTTAGGGGAAACTGCTGCTCAGCTGCTAATTTTTCCTTTTAGCAAATAAGAAAAGTGCCTTTAATTATCAAACAATGAGTAATGGTAACCCATATAATTTCCTTTTTATAAATACTATGACACATCCATAGAGATCTAATTTTCCTTATTGGTGTTACAGATGACAGTATGTCTCCACTGACTGTTAATTTCATGAGCTTCTGTTGGGTCAGCAATTTTCTGTATCTCTATTTTAGCTCCTAATAAATTTGAAAGAACACTAGACTTGCTAACTGATCCTGGAATCCCTTGAATTTTATTTCTAATTAAATACATTGTAAATCAATTCTCAGAATGAAAAGAGATCTTGAAGATCTTTTCTGCTTCAGTGAGTCACTGAGAAATGTTTCACGAATCCTTTCATTATCTCCTTGTTTTGCTATTAGGATTCATGTTGGGATAGCTGTTGGATTCTGGGGGAATGGAATAAGCAGGAGATAATGATGTGATACCCAGTGTGGGTCCTGACATGAATTATAGTTAACACATACTGAATGACTTGGCTGTTTAGTATCATTAGATTGTTTCTTTATACAAGCAGCATGGATAACAATATGAAGATGTGTGTATTGGTTATATGCTAGAATTAGAACTATTCCCCACCCCCAAAAGTATTTTCTGTCACCTGTACTATTTGTTAAGCTGATGAGTCAATTCTATATAACTTATCAACTACTTCATATATTACTGTACTAAGTGATATATGGCTACTTTCAACCATTTGCCAGTACTCTGTTTTTTTTTTTTTTTTTAAAGTGACAACTCTTTTACTTTTGGGGGGGTGGCTACTTTCAACCATTTGGCAGTACTCTGTTTTTTTTTTTTTTAAAGTGACAACTCTTTTACTTTTGGGGGTGGGGGCAGAGTATCACTATGCAGTCCCTGCTGCCCTGAACTGCCAATGAAGACCATCCCAGGCAGGCCCAGATCTCACAGAGATCTGCCTGTCTCTGCCTCCTGAGTGCTGGGATTAAAGGCGTGTACTACCACACCTGGCTCTTTTACATTTTTAGAAAGAAAAAGATACAACATTGTTTTCTAACAGTTTAAAAATGTGCCTGAGAATGCTTTGATCTACATAATCTTGCCTGCAGAGTAGATTCACTTTATAGCATAAAACTAATGCAAACCAAAGCAATTTCTAAATTTACACAGATCATTTCTCTCTGTGTGGCTTTGTGGCCAGAATGGCAATGTTACTTTGGGTACACATTTAACAACTCCAAAGGGCTCAAGAGAAAAGGAATGTGGATGAATCCATGCAAAGCTGTTTTCTGCCAGTGAGCAGCAGAAAGTGAGGACATGTATCCCACACAACAGGGCACCTTCAAGGACGTCATTATCTTACCTACTTTGAAATGGTGATGTAGGGATTTTTTTTCTTTTGATTTTTATTAATTGAATCTGTTCATTTGTTTAAAGAGTAACCTGTACATTTTAAATTTAACTGGGCATCACTAATTTTTGACATTGTAATAGGAAATACTTTTAAATGATATTCATTATTAACAATATGCTAAAATGTTCCCTTTCCCTTTCTAATGGAACATGTGCAAATTTCCTCTGGTGGTGCTGGATACTAAAACTGGTGTATAAATCTTATATTGTATTCTATATAACAACTCAAAGATAAAGTTTTCATCTTTAAGGAGAGTAGTATTCTTGATTAGATTTTTGTTTTCTGTCTATATGTCTAAAAAAGGCCACTCCAAATCAAAACTGGAATCCTAAAAGCAGGCATCATCACACAGGGTTATACACAGCCCTTGAAAATGAAGTCCAAGTCAATGATATTTTGTTTATAAAATGAAATGAACACCTTCTAGAAATATTGCCTGTAACTATTAAAACAAAGAAAACAGACTTGAATATGTGATGCACTTGCAAAAGACACAATACAATACTCTCTTCTTATTTCGTTGGTGCTTGCACAATGGTAGCAGTATTAAAGAAAGCAAAACCATGACATAGGATTTTGAGACTTCGGATACTTAGTTTTAATTGCTAAGTGCAACGAGACACAGACCAAAGACGTGAATAGCTGGAAAATCTAAAGGTCTAATATATCTTATTTGATTCTGTAGTATAAGCAGAAGACCTTATAGCATAATGCAGCTAATAACTCACTGATAGGAAAAGGTATTAATACATATCTAAAACTTTGTTATACAAACGGTTCAAGCAGGATCACTGCAAGTCAGAGGGAAAAAAAAACCAGTCAAAGTTAAGAACAAAGAGTTACTGGATAGCTTAATATTTGCTTTTGGAGAAGGCATGTTTCTTTTGACTATTAACAGCTCCTTTATTAATAGCAAAGTACAGCTCAATTATAGAATTGGGTAAGGTCAGTATTTCTATGTTGAAAAGGCAGAAGAAAGAACATAAAGTAGATTTCTATTTTGCCATTCTAGAACATTTAGCTCACCCTTTCTTTCAACATGGTCTCTTGCTCTCTGGGAGGAAGGAGGTGGCTGAGCAAGTGATGCTATGATGGGCATCAAAGGACCATGTTGGCCGTACCACACGATCAGAAAGGGAAGGTGTTAACCGCAGCAGAAGTTAAGAGTGCCTGACACACTTTGCTTTTAAATGCTGACATGCAGAACGAAATGATTGAAAATTACTTTGTAGGAGCATTCACAGCTAGGTAACAAAGAAAACTCGTATCTTGTGCATGCTAGGAATGAAAGGCCCTTAGGAAAAGTAACAAAAGCCAAACTCAAAAGGAAAGGAAAGGAAAAGTTAACAGTGACCATTCCTGGAAACTTACTCAGAGTCTTTGTTCCATAACCGTCGTCACCTAATCCGGGGATGTCCTGCATGGAAGTCCCCAGAGAGAGCAATGAGAGAGGAAGAACAGCCACGGAAGAGGAAGGAAGAAGTCAGTGGAGTCAAAACGGATACTACCATGACAGACCGTGTTGCCCACGCAATCTGGATCCCACTCTCTTTCCTTTTGAAATAACATTGACCCCAAACTCCCTGAGCAGAGTTATGAAGGAAATTTCCAATTTGTAAATCAACTCAAAAGGCTGAAGCAGAAGATTGTGGGGGAAAAAAGTTTCACCGAATGACATTTTGATCACTGTCGATGTCACAGAAATACATGCTCCAAATTTAATATCAAATTCTTAGAGTCTGTATCCACAAATACAAACTCACTTCTTAGCAAGTATTTAGTGTTTTCTAGAAAGGTTAAGAGTGAGCTAAATGTGCCAATAATTAATGAAAAGTAATTTAATTGGCTTCCAGTAGGCTAATCTTGGAAATAAAATACATATGCATCAATGTAATTCAATATATGGCCAGAAAAGAAATTTGTCTCAAGCCCTAGGGAGTTGCATGATATCAAACCAGCCTCGTTCCTGGTCACTAAGAAGTGCTGGTTGGACATGAAGCTCCAGCTTTGTCAAAGCCCTTTCAGTGCTTTCTGCAAAGCACAGCCACAGGAAGAGAAGGATCCAGACTGCGGTCAAGCACTGGTCACAGTAGTAAAAGCTGACCTGCCTGCCTGCTGTGTTGTTTGCCTAGGCGTGTGGCATGGAGAGCCTGTCCTGAGTGTTGCTCCTGAAGGAATTTTTTCTCTTGTGTTGCATGTGACATTATCTTCGAGAATCTACTTACGTTCAGGGTCACTGGTTTCCTGCTCACTCTGCTCCTTGTTCTTGTAGAATGGGAATTTTCGTGAAAAGATGAAGCTCTTTTTACGCTTGTCATTGAATGACTGTGAAGGAGAAAAGGCATGGGGCAAAAACAGGGGACGTCTAATTGTTGTCACACTCATGCTGACAAAACAACTAGTTTGTAAAAGCACAGAGAGCTGTAGTGATGCAAGGGATACTCAGAAGTGCCCGAGGGTTCTAAAGGAAGACTTGATCTCTAAGGAGAGAAAGGTTGGAATATCTTGGGAAAATGGCTTTATAGTCAAAACATTCCTTACAGACAAACAGTGACTGAGGGGAATCTCTTCAGGTAGGAGACTCTGAATTTTTGTCCTGGTTCTACAGGTTTTCCATCAACTTGACAAATAACTGGATCTCGCTGGACCTCAGTATCTTCATCTATAAGATGAGGATCCTAATAATAGTTGCAGGTCTTAGGTGGTGAGCCCACATAAGACAGAACTGTATAAACTGCGATATAATTCTTATTTTGTTATTTCAGACAGAAAAAAAGATTATTAAAGAAATGAGTTTTGTTTTGTTTTTTTAAACCTCATTGTCTAAGTATCTTAAAATAACTTGAATTTGTTCTTTCAGCTTGGATTCAATGAAAATTCTATAAGGAGGAATGGATTTATGATATGACGATCATAGTATAACATTTTAATTAAAAAGATAATTTAGCCTCAAGCCCTCATTTTATAGCTGGAGATGGAGAAGCAGAGGGAGGTTGAATTTCATGCCAGTATCACAGAGCTAGTTGGTGCCAGGAGACAGTCAGCCAGAAGCTGCTAAAGTGGTATTTACTTGGTAATCAAGCAAGGGGAAATGACAGTTACTCATCTGTGTTTTGGTAAGAATGACTACCTTTAAAGTATAACTCACTCCATTAGCTTTAAAAAGGCCGAATTGAAAATAATATATGCAAACTATAGTTATCAGAACTGACTGAAATGATCATTATGTGCTTGTTCGGATTTTTAAAGAGAATTCATTTTTTCTACTGTTGCTGTTATTATGTAAATGCTTTGTGGGGCTGTTCTTTGGGAAACATGGACATTCAAGCACTATTAATTTCATAGTCTCTGTCATTTAAAAAATGTTTTACCAGCTTGATTATCATCTGTACCTGACTGATTTGTGATTATTCCCCAGGGAGCAAGGTTTCTTGCCCATACAGGTTTCAAAATGGATTGCCAATGGTAATTTAAAAAGGGGTAATTTAAACCAGGGTTCAATGGCAGCTGGCAGGAGCGAATATGGATCTAACAGGGTAATTCCTTGGAAGGAAAGACTACTTGTGGGGAGGTGTGCATTTTATCTCTTTGGTGGTACTTAAACATGAGCCTGTTGGAGCTTAACCAAAAGAAAAAAAAAAGCACATAAGTTATTTTCATTGTGTACCCATGCACTCTTTTGCTAAATGTCAATTTTGGTGATAATTTTAAAAAACATTCAAGAACTAAAATGTTGGTGCTGTCATCCATTACTCTTTCAGGGGCTAGGGTCTTTCATCAAAGTCAGTCGAGCTTATTTTATGCCACACTAAGGAGGCTTTATACAAATGACATGCAAATAATAAATATTTAATAATTAATGACTTCAGAACAAATTTTAAATTTCATTTTAAAACACTTAAAATGATTTCTTAGGAAAAAAGTATTACTTCAGAACTTAAGACTGACTGCAGACAGCACCTGTGTTTAATAGAGTCTTATAATTCATAATTAAGATTTGGCATCCAAAGACCAGGCTGGGAAGTGCCCCATATTTTCCTAGTTAAAATTGGTAATCATGAAATGTTCTTGCATCACTCCAGTTTCACGCCACTTTTACATTTCAAGAATATTTAAACTCCAGTAACTGAAAATAAAAGAAAAATATCATGTAAGAATTAATGGTATGTAGTATGGCAAGGTATGTTAGACACTTATCTTCAACATTACAGATGACTTTTCATGCAAAACAATTATGACTTCTCATGCAAATGCAAAATGATGCCAAGAGGAGGAAGCCTGGGGTGGAAACATACACAGGTGGATAATGCAGAGGTTTCTGGAGCCCCAAATGGAGATGCATGCAAACCACATCACTTAAATTGTCTCACGGGTCAAAGGAAAATGAAAAGGTGTTGTCTTTGATTAGTTCTTTCATGTTTCAAAGCAAGGAATGTAATGTGTTAACATTTCCCAAATATGAAATGTTGTGTATCATGAGGTATCTGATTGGACATAATAATACCAAACAGCACACTGTTTTAAAAGGACAGAAAATACACAATACCTCAGAAGTACAGTTACATAACATAGTATTATTAGCAAAGGGTCTTTGATTCCTTCCAGCATAAAATGGAAGGTACTGGAGTCCTTCTTGTCTATACTTTTTTTTACAGATATAGATATAAAACCAAATTGCAATTTCAGTTCACACAGATTTCAATGTCTCACATTTAGGGTCTTAAACATTTTGACTATAAAGGACTAAATGTGGTTAATAATGCTCTTCTTTGTCTGGACATTTTTAATACCACAATATAAGCTTTATGACTGCTCCACGTTTTCCTTTTAATATAGAAAAGGAAAATCTGCTACACGAGTGCAAGATGAAAGTAATAAATTAGCACTTTCGCTATTCATAGAACACAGGGCTCTAAAGGCTGGTTTACTGCGCTAGTCTTGTGTACTTGATCAACACTATTTTTCCTCTGTTATGGCACCCTCAGCCCCCATCCATTGCTTTCATGGCAGAAAACTTTGTTGAAGAGAGATTTTTGAAAACACCAATCAAATGTGGCCTGGGGTAAGTTGGCATATATAAGAATTCCACTTTGGAATTTGACCTGAATTATCTAGTTCCTATGAATATATTCGATAAAGCAACAACTGACACTTATTGGGCCAAGCTTAGTTCTAAAAGTATCCTGTTTATAAATCTCCATGCTTGGCCGATCACTGTTCCTGTGTGTGTCCAGTCACTGAGGTGCTGAGCAGTGCAGTTAGGAATTGAATTGGCTGCAAATGTTACTGTTCTACCAATCACAGATTTCTGCAAGCCATGCCTGCAGCAAGTTTATATTTACAATTAAAGCACTTGACTGTCTGTCCTATGCGACACTACACTCAGTGTCTCCTGAACCACAGGGCCTGGTGATTACTTAGGCTACCACATGTTAACTGGGTTCAATGGCATCTCTTTTGGTTATTATGCTACTTTTTTAAAAATAGCAATTCATGCATTTGAGGGCTGTAATCCACTCTTGTTCTTATGATAGTGTAAAAAAAAGTCAAAGGAATTTCAGTGGGGCAGGTTATATATGGAAATCTATAGGAAATAGCCTATAATTGGCAAATGTACGGAGAGGAGTTGGGTTAGTGGTTGCTTAGGGAATAAAGGCACAGAGAGTAGGAACTGACAGATATTGGGTATGGGCCTTATTTTATGCTAGATGAAAATTAGATGGTGATGGTTACATAATCTTGTGCATACAGTAGAAAACATTGAACTGTGTACTTGAAGTGGGTGAATCATATTCTATGTAAATTTTAACTCAATGAGGACACTGTTAAAAAGAACCCCTCCACAACCCCATACCACAACTTGAAGCAATTACAGTAGGCTTCTCATTAGCTTGGTATGAATATGTTACATCTAATTGGACGCTCTCCAGCCCTTGCAGTCTATCATATATGCACACATAAACATTTTTGTTGATTGGATGCTATCTTGTGTCAGTTAAGTGAATACTTTTCATGTTGTGACAGACATTAGAACACTCACATCAGGAGTCACCACCTTGTCACTGTCAGAAGCCTCCTGATTGTTGGTCAAGTGGCATGAAACTGCCTGGCTCGACCCCAGCATATAATGCTTTGGTAAGCTGGCATAAGATAAAATGCATTCTTCATAAAGAAAAAAACAAAAAGCTCAAATCCTTTCTTTTCTCATTCAAATTCCACGTTCCTAATGACACATCACCTGTATTTTATTCTTTGCATCCAGAAAACTTTAAAACTAGGGACATATTTCTGGTTTTTCTCCTCATTTGCCTATTTTTCAAGCTTCAAGTGTTTCATAGCTCTGAACTATGTTAAGGATGTTCTCTGGGTAGAAATTAAATTTGTACTGAACTCAAATACTTTTTCTGTCACCCTTCTTCGTTTATATAAATACTTCTCTCCTCCTAATTGTGTTCCCTTAGGAAAGCTGTTACAATAAATTGAGGTACAACTTTATATTATTGCTTGTTTTCATGCACAAAAAGAATGTAAAACAAAATACATTAAAGAACAAATAATGAGACGAAGAAGAGTTAAGTCAAAGATGAGAGCTGAATCTAGCACAGCGAATGAGGAGCATAGGAAAGGAAAGACATCACTGAGATGTCTTAAGCCTCCCAATGGAAGAGGAAAGCTTTACTGAAAAGTAGCCTTGTCAGTTCTACTTTCAAAATAAAACCAATGAACCCAAATCTGGTCAAACCTGTTGATTCACGTTTGATTCACGCGTGAGCAGTTTATAGCTACAATATGATTTGTCATGTTTCTTTATAAGATTGCAGTCCTCAAAATCTGAACTTTGGGAAGTTCTGCAAGACAAACCACCTGGCTTCTTCAAAATAAAAGTTGCACCCCCCCCCCGAAAAAATTGGAAGAGAAACTTGCAAATTAGTGGAGATAAGTCACATTACCCAATTACCATAGATGCATAGATGTCATTTGCATTCTCATTCAAACAAACTACAAAACAAAGCAACAAAAATTTGTTTGTGATAAAAAAAAGTCCTGAAAAGAAAAAACAAGGGCCTCCCAGATAGCTCAATGCTTAAAGATACTTGCTACCAGATGATTCAAGCGTGATAACCTGAGTTTGATCCCCAGATTCTACCTAAAGGTGGAAGAACCGACTCCATACTGACTTCTACACACACAAAAAACATTTAAACAGCAAAACACTGGATACTTGGCAATTTTATGTGTGATAATGGCACACAGTCCTGCTATACTGAAATTTGAAATGATTCAATGTTGGACTGCCTCAAAATCATGGCTGGAACACAATACTC